GCACAGGTCGTCGTCGCAGCCGTCCATTCTCCTCCGCCATCGTCTCGCGACCACCATCGTCCATCAATCGACGTTCTGTCCATACCGACATCATCACCCAAACACACACACACACACACACATACGAGTTGTATACCGCAAATGGCAGACTGGTTTAGTTTGTCGGCGACAACGACGACGAGGAAGGGGCTGTGTGTTGTCGGGGAATTCTGAGTCGCAGACATCGACTGCGATAGAGTTGGTGGTTGTATGCCGGAGCGGTCTGGGGGAAGCCGCGTGCGGCTGACCTTTACAGGTGACGGGCTGGTTTCCGCCGTTGGTCGCGTGCATCTCCGGCATTGGAATGCGGAGGTGCGGCGGCGGTGCTCCGCCGCTGAGGAGGCATCGCCATTTTTTCTGTATGTGGAGAAGTGTGTGTGTGTGTGTATGGAGAAGTGTGTGGGTGGGTGGGTGATAATGTGGGTGACGGGTAGGTGGGAGGGGTGTAGGGTTAATGTGTGAGGTGGTGGGTCCCCAAGGTGTGTTTGATACAAATGTCTAAATTAACCTTAATTAGTGGTAAAATCTATATATTTGACTATCATATATCTATTTATTTACCATATCGAAATTAATGATTGACCATTATTTATTAAAGGTTCACTTGATCATGACCATTAGTATGATGTATCAATGGTCCACATTCATTCTTATTTCTTTCACTATCTACCATTCTCATATGATCATAACTGTATATATATATATATATATATAGAAGTGCGCTCAAATAAGAATGAAGCACAATGAAAGAAATAAGAATGATTTTGGATCATTGGATTCATCACATAAGTGGTCATGATCAAGTCAACATTTATATATGTCAGTCAACATGTGGTGGCATTTTAGTAAATAAATAAATATGGTCAAATACATTAATTTGACCACTAATTAAGGGTAATTTAAACATTTGATTAAAATACACCATCATGTGGGACCCACCACCTCCCACTTAATCCTAACCCCATCCACTTTCCCGTCAATTCCCCCTTTCACACACACACACACACACACACATTAAATCAGATCACACACACACATACACACAAAATCAAATCCGACACACACACTTAGCCGGACCACCAATCACCGCCATAGTCGTCGCCGCAATCATCTTTTGTTCAGTGTTTCGATGATACGGCGGGTGGAGTCGATGAGACGCAGCGGTTATCGGAGGCGACGCGGCGGCTGTTGGAGGCGGGAAGACGTGGTGGTTGTCGGAGGCGGAGCGACGTAGCGGCGCTGGACGAAGGGATGCGGCTGCTGACAAAGGCGATGGCAGATGAAGGCGATGCAGCGAGGCGGCTGGTAGAGGCTATGTTGCGGCGGCAGACGAAGGCGATTCGGTTGACGGAGGCGAAGCAACTGGACGGTGGACGGAGACGACGCGACGCGACGAAGACGGAAGAGAGGCGACTGACCGGAGAGGCGACGCGGTGGCATTGCTGCGTTTTATTATTATTATTATTATTATTATTATTATTATTTGGAACTGATTTTGTCATGTTTGTTCAATTTGGGCCACTTTCAGATATTGTGCAAGAGAGGGAAGTGGCGGTGGAGATGTTTATGGTTGTGGGGATTTGCACTTACAATTTGGGGGGCTTTTCATTGAAATTTTGATAAGTGTTAGGGACTTAATTGCGATTTCTGAAAGTTTGTTTTGGGTTATGAATGAGTTGATGGTGGAGAAGTATATATGTTTAAGGACTTATGGAATTTTGTTGAATTTTAATTGATTTTCACAACATTTTATATGCACACTAATGTTACTTGAGATGCACATATGGATAGAGGATATGCACAACAATTCGCATAATATTTTATTTTTATGAAATTAACAAATTGTGTTCTCTTACACATCTAAAACTTCACATTTCAACCAAAATGCCAGATATCCGAGATTTTAAAAATATTAATAGGAAACTAAACACAAATATAAATTTTTGATCTGAAAATTTTAGTTCGATTGGTCTCGATCAATATTGTGCAATTTGATAGGAGTTAACGTGCAATACACGTAACACTATTGTGCATTCACAACATGACTTGTCCAAAAAAAAGTTAAAAATAAATTGAAAATAATTGTATATTTGATTGGTTAATCAAATAATTCTAAATATTCGAAATGATTATACTAAACTAATATATTTAGTACTTGAGGAAAAGGATTAATAAATGATTCATGCAGAACGAGAGATAGCCTCGTCCTCTAAGTCCGTAGTGATAAAGAGGAAAAGGAGCTCTATTCAGAAAGCAGTTGAGTCGTCTAGAGCTGCTAGATCAGGACAGAAGGTCGTCTGCCCTCTCCTCAAGAAAGGTAACTCTTTTGTTAATGTTGTAGAAACATGTTTAGCGGTTGTATATACCAGAACCTGGTGTGTAGATACTGAAGCCACTGATCATGTCTGCAGTTCTTTGCAGGGGTTTCAGGAAACCAAGCGGCTTAGGGAGGGAGAGATCACCGTCTACATAGGCAATGCTACGAAAGTGGCGACTGTTGCAGTGGGTGACGTTACTTTATCGTTTGATAGTAGTAGTTGTTTTGAGAGATTGCCTTTATGTTTCTAGCTTTAGAAAGAATCTTATTTCAGTTTCTAAACTTGTTATGGATGGTTTTTCAGTTTCGTTTGATGACATGGTTATTATCATAGTTGTCAAAACCGGACGGGACCGGCCAGTTCGACCGTTTGAACCGGGAACCGGCCAGTTCACCGGTCCGGTTCTATGGAAGAAATCGGTTGTGGCAAAAACCGGTCAAAAACCGGTCAATGACCGGTCGAACCGGCCAAAACCGGCAAAAAACCAGTGGTTCAACCGGTAATATATATATATATTTTTTTTTTGCCAATCCGATCAAATATTTTTTATGTATAAATTCTAACACTTTTATAAAACAACTAACCTTTTATGGTTACCGATGTGGGACAAGATGTAAGAATTTCAAATTTCCAATTGTAAAGTTAAAGGACTAAAGCCACCCGTGGAAGGAATTTCTTTTACCTTTTACCTGAGCGTGAAAGAATTTTATTTTCCCATATCCCATCTTTATTTCCTATTATTTTATTGCCCAATGTGGGAGTGTGAGAAAATATTTCTTTTTTTCCCATATTTTTGTAGTATCATTTTATTGATTCATCTATATATGGTGGGACCAACCTTTTTAAAAATAAGTCAACTATATTTAATATTTATAAAGTATTATATATTTAAAATATCAATAAACTAAATAACTTAAAAAATAAGTTAACTATATATATAAAATATTATATATATTTAAAAATATCAATAAATTAAATAACGGTCCAACCGGTTCAACCACTAGTCGGCCAGTGAACCATTGAACCAGTAGCTTGACCAGTTCGATGACCGGTCTGGTTTTGACAACCTTAGTTATTATTCATTTTGGAAATCATTTCATATGGTGTGGATCATTAGTTGGCAATTTATATGTTCTCAAACCAAGCTCTCCCACAGTGCAACAAAATGAATTGAGTCTTCGCACATGAATCAAGCATATATGTGTCACCTTAGACTTGGGCACATCAACCTTAGGAGGATTCAAAAGTTAGTGGGCAGTGGACATCTCAGTCCATTGGAAGAGCACTATCCAACTTGTGAATCGTGCCTGGAAGGTAAGATGACCAAGAGGCCGTTTACGGAAAAAGGGTATAGGAGCCAAGAAGTGCTAGGATTGATTCATTCTAAATTGTGTGGTCCTATGTCGATCCAGGCTAGAGGAGGTTTCGAGTATTATGTGTCTTTTATAGATGATTACTCGAGATTCGGGCACGTTTACCTGTTGCACCGCAAGTCCGAATGCTTTGAGAAATTCAAGGAGTATCAAGCAGTTGTGGAGAAGCTTCATGGTAAAAGTATCAAGTCACTTCGTTCTGATCGAGGTGGTGAATACCTCTTTGGAGAGTTCAGGGCATACTTATCGGAAGTTGGGATTGATTCCCAATTGACTGCACCCAGTACGCCCCAACAGAAGCGGGGTTGCAGAGCGAAGAGATAGGACTCATATAGAGATGGTTAGGTCTATGATGAGTTATTCGAGGTTACCATATTCGTTCTGGGTTATGGCATTGGAAACAACATCATATATTCTAAATGTTGTGGCCATTTTTGTTATGTTTTTCTGTACTATTTTGTCGTTCCTTTTCCCATGTTTTAGGTCTTTTTGTTAGTTTTTAGTTGATTTTATGTTTTATTGTGTGTTTTGTTCTATTTTGACTTTTTTGTGTTTTTCGTGTATTTTGTCGTTTTTCAACGTTTTTCTTCTTGTTTTTAGTGTGCAGTTCGGAAGCCCCGTGAGGAATTGATTTAGCTCGAAAATGGGTCGGGAAATCATGTTTGGATAGATGGGTTCCTTAGCTACATATAGGAAAAAGCGGAATCCAATTTCGAGTTCGGAAGAATCCAAACGGGCCGAAAACGCGAAGTCGCGCAAAACACGTCTTTGGTGTGCTGGTCATAAGTTTTTGGAGAATAGGATTTCAAGAATAATTTTGCTATGCAAGCATCATTGAATAGAGGGGTTCGTTAGCGACGTGTAGAAAAAAATAAAATTCAATTCCTTGTTCGGACGAGCCTAAAACGTGAAGCCGCACACTGTAGTCCGCGAGGATTTTTCTGTGCGCGAAAGTCGCGACCACGGAGAATGTCACGTGCAGCGGAACCTGGAATGTGCAGATTTTGTGGCTTTTCCTCATTTTCTTCCACTTTTCTCCATGTTTTCCTCCGTGTCTCCTCCATGTTTTGAGCCATTCCCTCCATGTTTTGATCCATGAACATGTTATCATGTTTTGTGGAAGGATTTATGGATGAAAAAAGGGAGAAAACAACTATAAATAAGCAATGTTTTGGATTGAGGGAAAGACAACTCCATAGAGGGGTTCTCCCTCTTTCCCTCCTTCTTCTTCTCCTTTTCTTCCTTCTTTCCTTCTTCTTCATTTTTAGTTCATTTTCTTGGTTTATTTGTGAAGTGGAATATTTGGAGAATACAAGATTTCTTGTGAACTCGGTTTGGCTTATACGTTGATTTCGATTCTCGACTTGGATTAATAGTAAGTTTTCCTCATTTGATTATGAATATGAAAGCTTGTGTTAATTCTTCTGTTGTGATTAATTTCATCATGAGTAATTAATCCTCTAGCTAGGGTTAAGGGATAATCATTCCGGTTTGTTCTCGTTTATGTGCATGACGATAGCTCAATCTTAACGAGTTGTTTTAATTATGAATTGATAAAATCATACTTGATAAATTGTTATTACCTAAGAGTGACACTTAGGTTAATTTGTTGATATAATCAAAGAGTGACACTTTGATTTGTGATTGAATATTGATTTGTTGAGTTAGAGTTTGTTAATTCTACGAATTGCGACTTTTAGAACCGAAAAGGGAGGAGTCGTAGAGATAATCGATTTGAAAACCGAGAGGGGAGAAATTGGTGGAATTTGGCTCGTTTAGAGTAGACATCTTCGGAGACGTATTGTCTATATGTTAATTGTTTCGTTAATTTGCTCTTTTATGTTTATCCTCATATTACAAGAGTTAGTGAGGTTAAACCGCTAAATGAGTTAGTTAGTCGAACCACTTAACCGAGTTATTAATTGTCGTTAAATGTGTGTAGAACCGGAAGCGATTATTCCCGATATCCTAGCTTGTCTATCTTTTTACCGTTTATATTTTAAGGTAGATTATCGTCTTATGTTATTTCTTAGTTAATAATTTTTCAACCCTATCGTGATTAGAATGTGTAGAATTTATTTTGCCTTTATGTGTTATCGATATCAATACTAAATTCCGAACCGCCTTCCTCGAGAGATCGACCCGGGAAATGAATAATTCTTAAAAATAATTTGCTACAACAAATTTGGCGCCGTTGTCGGGGAAGGCAAGTAGGATATTTGGTTTTGGTATTGGTGTTATTTTCCGTGTTTCTCTTACTTTTGTGATATTTGCTTAATTTCAGTGTTTTCTCTCGATTTTCTTATTTTTCATTTCTCTTGTGTTTTGGTATATTTTTGAAAAATCGTAAAAAAAAAAATATTATACATATATTTCTTGGTCTCGTGTGCCTTGGTTGTTTTGTTTTTCTTGTGCGAGGTGTTTCCCTTTAGGAGCTCCAATGGACCCGTACGGCTATTCTTATACCGGAAGCTAGTCTTGTGGATATCCCGACAACTACCAAGAGAAGATGTACTCACATGGAGGGCCGCCTTATCCGTATCTGAGCTATTCAAATCCCTATTGCTATGACGGATACTCTCCAACCCAAGGGTATGGCCCGAGCCATTCTACCCGAAATCTCAAGGCGGATACGATTATTACACTCCAACTCACTACGAGACGCCTTATTACCAACTGTTGATATGGTGGTCGGGCTCATATGAAGGTACCGATCCGAGGGATCCCGGGCGAAGTCGGCTCGACCGATGGGGCCGGTCACCGAATTGATTCAGAGGTGCCGAGCTGAGCATAGGTCAAAGTCAACAAGAGCGGCGGACGGCATCGTTTCCAAGGTCGGCACCTTTCACTCCCCGTTACGGAGCCGTCCTGGTTAAGCGCTGTATAGAGATGGAATCCGGAAGACCGGGGATGGACTAAATGCCAGAGTCCGACCTGGGATCCTACCAGGCCGACCTTCATAAGAGTAAAGGATCTGGGAAATAATAAGATGAGGCCACTTGTTTATCAATGATTATCGATGGGACATCCCAGACTAGCCTGCAGGTCTAGGATGTCTAGCCCGGCCAGAGAGCAAGTCCGCATTTAATGCAGCCCATGCCAACATTAAATGCCCTGCAGGTAATGATTGGAAGATCCACAAATCACTCCCAATCAGTCAGAGAAACGCCTGCTTGTCTTGCTGAGTCACTGTGCGACAAGACTCCTGAACAGTACCTGAATAGTGTTGCATTTAGGGACCCTATAAATAGAAGCTTTGAGCATTTATTTTGGGTTGTTGAATCCTCAACTGTCTAACTCCCTCTACTTTCTCTCTCTAAGCTTGTAACCCGTGTAAGAACTTATAAGGATATCGCAAGTGCCGACCTCGTACGAGAGGCCGACCTCGTGATCAATTAATAAAATCATAATTAAACCGCACTTTCTTGTTGTTCTTCCATTTCGTATTTCCTTTTCCTATTTCTTTAACCGTTGATCGGAAACTTCCATCAACAGTTTGGCGCTAGAAGGAGGGTACCATAA